GCTGCAACAGCCAGCTCAAAAATTGCGTTTGTCCAGTCTTATCATCCCAGAATAATTGACGGACCGCAGTAAATCTGACGATTCCAAATTGCAGTATGGGTGTTAGTTAGATTGATGAAATGTTGATGATGAAACAGAAATGTGATTGTTTTTTTTCCTGTCCGTTTACTCTCTTATACACTAATAGTGTCACTAACTGGCCAATATATTGGATGTTTTATAGGGCCATCAGAAAACATGACCAATAATTAATTTATTTTATCTGTAAAAAAAATGGCTCAGTTTTCTTAATACTGTATCCTCTTGTAGTGCATTTACTTCATATGCAGGTTTGACTGGTTGGCCAAGATTTAAATTATATAATCTTCAAGCAACTGAAAACGTTTTAAACTCTTAAAGAAGCTATTCTAGAATTAGATAATGTGAGTATGAGTCTATTATGGTTCCCCGTTTTTTTTTCTCCAATGCAGATGGTTTAAAGCTTGATCAACTCTGAAATCTCACTTTTCTAGCTTTACTGCAGTGGAAAAATCTTTATAGATCTAAAACCCACAATCCTTTGCAGCTGGAGACACAGGGCAGGGTTCCAGCATGCTTAAAGTACAAGCAAATATGGGCCTCTCCCTTTAAGACGTCTCGATCCGCAGCTCATAAATGGACATCAGTGAGACGGAGTGGAACAGCGGCAGCTAGTTTGGGAGACTTCCTGGTATAGAGCCAGCTGGTTCAGGTCCTCTGGGAGAGATTGCTCTGCGGGAAAACTGATTTTTACAATGAAAAGGAAAGGGATTTACAAGTCCTGACCTGTTCTTGCAACCACCCCCATCTTCCCCAAATCATAGCATTGCTGTCTGTACCAGAACGTCTAATCAAATCAGAGCCACATGGTTGGAGACACAGTGGGTTGTGAGAAAGATGCAGATAAAAGGCTTGAAGCATTCTTTCTCTGAAGCATATGATCCATGTGCTGCAAATGTTGGAGGTTTTCCACCTTTTTTTCTGTGCCGTCTTGTTTGTAAAATATCAGCACACTAGATTGTGTTGATCAAGAGCTTCAAGGTATAAATCTATTATTTTAAACACTGTGATTTCTTTCCAACCCTTCATCTAACAGAACTATATACATCACAGACAGCAGAGCACCTTAAACCTCTTTATCTCGGAAAGCCTATCTAGAGATTCTTTTTTTACTTGAATACTTAAAAGCTTTTGACCGAGCTTGCTGTACTGCCAGTCATCCACAATGGTCTCTCTTCATCAGCTTTGCCTAATGAAGATGCCCATCATGTTCACAGCAGTGCTTATTAAAAGAGGCCAAACTGTAGAAGTCAAGGAGGTCTTCAAAGAGAGAGTGGAAAAGCCCACTGAAAGAGTGTAATATAATAAGATTGCAGGCACACATTAATTGGATGGATAAAAGCCTCATTCTTGTACGTGTGGTAGTAGAGGCATGTCCTGTAAAATTGGCTTGGATTTAATGAGTAGAACATCCCCATAAACTCCACCCTTATTGATTAGGGAAGTCACTATAGTGTTCATATGTGAGTAAAACATCTATCACAGGTGGTAAACAAAACAGTCTTTGTGTTCTCATTTGGTGAGCCAAGGCCAGAGCATAGTCTTAGAAAATATTCCAAAAGACAGATGAGATCCAAGGCTGACTAATAATGTGGGGTCTGAAACCTAATTCTATGACAACAGCTGGGACCACCTATCCTCTCACAATTAAGGAACACGATAGCTTCCCCTTGCCTCACTAAGTTCATTATTTAATTTGATGTTGTCCTGGTTAGTTCTGCAAATGCTAGAAGTTTTGGTATAATGGAGGTGAAAAAATGTAAACACAACCTGTTCACAATTAAAACGATCTAAAATGTACTCGCGCATGAGCAGAATTAATGATCGTCATACTGATGGTTTTCAAGCTTTGGTTTGGACAAAGGATACATTCCTGTGAATAAAATATGAGCTGTGATTAACACTAGCACTCCTCTGTCCACACGCTCATTTTTTGCGGTTTATGGAAAATCGTAAAAGGCCCCAGTATTTTTCTTTCCTATCCATCCATCTAATTTAATTTTGAAAACTTACAAACTCCGTCCTTGTCATTGTAACTGCTTCATTAATTTTAACAGCACAAGTAGAGCCTTCATGGAGAAAAAAAAAAAAAAACAGACAAAAAAATCAAATAAATCCGCAGTGAAAGTGTTGATCTCCTACTTTGAAGAAAATTATCTTACTTGATATACAGTAGATTTGGCTGGCTTTGTGTAAATAACAAGAACGTTTTCTTAAACCCTTGTTTTTCATTTCTAATTACATTTAATGAAGTGCAATCCCACATGATTTAGAAATAATTATTGGATCAACAGAGAAAATGGCTCAAAACGACTGCAACATGTATTTAGTGGCATAATTCAATGACATGTGTTTACACAATGGAAACCCAGTATTTACTTTACCCTTGAAATTATAGTTTATGGAAACAAATCTAGTTACACTTTAAGATTTGACGCACACGGGAGACTTGTGGAGATGGAGTGCATAAATTAGACGTACAAAAATGGTTTTCATATGTGGATCTGTGCAATAGACCTGACTGTAGTGAAACGTTGACTTGGCATGACACTATTCCACAATTGTCAGCTTAGCTTGAAATACGTACATGAATTGAGTTGCTGGATTTGTATTGCAACATATTCATATGTTCTCTGCAAGCCTAATGTCTCAACACTTCCAAGACTATATGTAGTATTTATCTCAAACAGTCAAATCCTCATCCAATTTAATCTCCGTTTGTTTTAACTCACATCAGCCGTAATTGTTTTTTTGATGCTGAACATGTCGACTGCCACTCTAGCTGACTGGAAGTTGTCCTTTAACTAAAGGAAACCACAGTGTTTTCCTCCCAACAGCTTTTTATGTTGGCATGTGTCCGTCCTGTACATGAATACATGCTGCCTTTGTTTCTCTGGTCATGTATCGGGTTACCAGGCATGGCTGCTCCATACGTTTAATGGAAATACTATGCAGGAAAAGGCCATGTGGCACTCTTGAATATACGTGCATCCGTAACGGGATACTCGTGAGCTCCCCTTGGAGTAACTGTTTGCCTTATTAGGCTGTCGTCTTGTGATGGCTAACAAACTGTAGAGTTCACTGAGATGGAATAAACGTGCGTCCTGACTGGATACCGTAAACATCACTGTGCCGCTGACGCCACGATAGTGGCGGGATGCACGAGTGTCACAGATTATCACGGTGCTTTGTTGGGATGAAATACAAAACCGCAATTTGTTTTCTTCAAACAGCCACATGTAAAAACATGAAATCACTTTCACTCCCCTTTTTATGTGATCTAATTTATTGTGTTATACTTTAGTGTGGGAGAGAGGCTATGCAGGGTTTTCCTAATTATGGAAAACATTAGTGATGCATGCTGATTATTGTTAGTGCTGAGTCACTGAAATAACTTCAATGACTATTTATTTTTGTCATCACTACAGTGATAGATGAAACTATCCACCTGATGCTTCAGTAAAGGCGGTTCATCATATTCACCGTAGATACCCAACCTGTTCATAATACGTTGAAAAACCACACACGTACAAGCTTTATAACCTTATATTATGGAGGCGTGGCAGTTGTAGTTTTCCAGTCAATGAATTTTCAACAGAGAACGCGTGCTGAGGGAGAGACTTCTGAGTTTATTGCTGGACTCAGGGGAGCCACTGTGTTGCTGGCTGAGGGCGATGTGCGTGTGTGTAGCAAGGGTCAGAAACTGATGAGCGTGGGGCTTGGTGTACATAAATCTTGCCCAGCACCCCTCCTTCCCTGACACCTCAACCCACCCTACCCTTTCACACACACAGGCACAGACATTGAGGCCTGCAGACCTTGCCAAGCTTCCCAGACGGGGCTTTTTATCCTCAGCGTCTCTTAGCTTTAAGCTGACTTGCAGCACCCTGAACTAATCATAATGGTCGCCGGACAAGTTGAGGTGATTATGCCTCCCTCTGACCTGACAATATTCAAGGTCACGGGCCTATGAAAGCCCATAGTCGACCACCCATGTTGTAAGAAGTCATTAAGTTTCCTACTGACTCTTGTTTTTGTTTTAGAATAAGTAAAGTAGGCTTTTTTTTACTGAACAAACGATAAATAAATAAATGAAACAACCTCCTTTTTTCCTTTTTGTCCATTTCCTTTTTAGTAGAATTGCACAAATTTTTTTCATTTATTTATTTATTTGCTTGTTTATTAAACAAAATCTAGTGATTTCATAAGACACGTACTATTTATACAGTCATTTTTTTTCATGCTTCTGATGTAAAAATGGCACTGCTTTTACAACAATCAGCAGTTTTTTTTTTATCTATTTTGATCATTTTTCAAGCATCTTTAAGAATAAATAATGCGCAAGATATTTTTTATTCATTATCTACCTAAAATTGCATTGCACGTTTTAAATACTATTCTATTCCACAAATTCAAATATATATTTTAACCAAACTAATATTGAATCAAATTGGGATGCAGAGGACAGAACAGCAACGTATAATGTGTTGTTGTGAAGCGTTTTTATGGCTCAAATGATTTATTCCGCTTGTTTAGCTCATATGCGTGACAAAATCTACTTTCCTCCATGTAATACACGGTGGTCCGGTGATTTTCAAATGAGTAATTTGTAGAAAGTGGTCTGTTATCAACAGCATGACAAGCATAAATTAATCTCATCAAAGTCACAGTTTATCTTGGGAAGTCCCGTGAGGCTGCTTATGTGGTTTAGCCAGTGTTGACTTGCCAGTGTGCACTGCGTGCATGGCCACGACGCTCCAACAGGAGACTACAGAACATTGTATACTGTGGATTTTATGGGCTTTGCTGAAGCCAGCGTTTGTCTGCGTGATTAAAGATGCTGTAAAATTCTCTGAGCAAGTCAGTGAAGTTGGGTTTGATTTATTTGCTTCATAGTTAACACTGCTTTTGTCTATTCACAGCTCCATCCACTGTATCTATAATGCATCAGGTCAGTCGTACTGTGGACAGCATCACCCTCTCTTGGTCCCAACCGGACCAACCTAATGGAGTCATCCTAGACTACGAGCTACAATATTATGAAAAGGTACTCACATTTATTCAAGCAAGTGCGCAGATTATTTCTCCAAATCCTTGCTGATCTTTATACATTAATTTGATTTCTCCAAATTAAGCCAAATAATGCTTGGCCTTTTAATTTTTTTGTTGCACATTTTAATTTAGAAGCTGCTCACGCTCGTTGCATAGCAGCAGATCCTTAAAGGCACGTAGCTTCTGAATATTGCTTAGAACCTTTGCTCGTTCTCGTCCAATTACAATCATGGTCAGTCACTGGGAAAGAAAACCACACACAGGCCCTGAAGCAGGGCCACTGGGGATTGATGCGCAGAGACTTGTGGTTAAAACTATGGTGCGCTGACTGATGTAAAAATAGTGTTTTAGGGGCAAGCTCGCTCATACGGCATACTTTCTCACAAGAGCACTTACAGTCAAAAATATGTATTTGTTCGAGCGCATGGAACACTTAAAAACACAAACATTTAACTATATGCAGATGCACAGATGTGCAAAGTTTGTCAAGGTTTTGTTGAGATACTGTTTTGTTCTACTTTTGATTATAAGTCTCTGACGCTGTTGGAGAAAGCTGTCAAAACGATTGTTCCAGCCACTGTTATGGCTCAGAAGTGTGCACTGAGAAGGGTATTGAAGGAAGCAGCTAAAAACGTCTTAGTCTCAGCTCTCAAACCTGTCAGCATTGTAAAGAGGAGAAGCATGGCAGTGAAATACAGCTCTGATCATTATAAGACACAGCTCAGAGGAGCGGCCTGACCTGAAACTGCCACCAAATCTTTCTTAGTAAAAGCAGCTGCCGGATGTCTGCCTATTTTTGTCTTTCTTTTCATTAAAAATGTCAGATTAATTTATTTGGTTACTTCAAATGACTATAAATACATTGTAAAAATAAAAGGAGAAATGAGTTTCATTTTGTGCACGGTTGTTGCTTTAAGCAGTTGTGTAGTTGTTACTAACTTGTCTAAATTCAATGTGTTGTCTATCTGCTTCAAGGATCAGTCAGAATATAACTCTACTACCATCAGAAGTCAGACCAACACGGCAGTCATCCGTGGGCTCAAGCCAGGAAGCATCTATGTGTTCCAGGTCCGGGCCCGCACCGTCGCTGGGTTTGGACGCTACAGTGGCAAGCTGTACTTTCAGACCATGACGGAGGGTGAGAATTAAGACAGTGCCTCCTGCAGCACGCACAGTTCTTATCGCCTTTCATGCGAGGCTTTTCAGCACACTATAGTGAACAATTTGAGTTAAGACAGCTGCAGGAACAAGCAGTGGTTCCCAACCCTGGTCCTACAGGAACACATTCCTGCATGTTTTAGTGGTTTCCTTGCTCCAGCACACCTGATTTAGTGATTTAATTACTTTGTACTTCCTCAAGTTCTGCAGAAACCTGTTAACCATCCATTCATTTAAATCAGGTGTGTCAAAGCAGGGGAAAAACAAAACATACAGGATAGTGTCCCTCGAGGAACAGGGTTGGGAGCCACTGTTAACCTGTACAGCAATCCATCCATCCATCCATCCATCCATCCATCCATCCATCCATCCATCCATTATCTTTACCTGCTTCTTCCTTTTTGAGTCGCAGGGGTCACTGGTGCCCATGTCCAGCCATCACTGTGTGAGAGGTGGGGGACACCCTGGACAGGTCTCCAGTCCATCACAGGGACACATAGACACAAATGAGACAATCATTCACTCTCTCACTCATAACTAGGGACAATTTAGAATTACCAATCAGCCTAACATGCATGTTTTTGGTCTGTGGGAGGAAACCGGAGTACCCGGAGAAAACCCATTCTTGCACGGAGAGAACATGCAAACTCCACCCAGAAAAGTTCCGAGCCAGGATTTTAACTGGCGACCGTCTCGCTGAGAGGCAACTGAGCCACTGTGCCACACACAATTCTTCTTCTTCTTGTTTTATTAAGTATTTAATTATTTGTCTTATACAAATATTCAAATGAGCTTTTAATGCTAGAAATAGCATAAATGCTGTTTTTTCACTACAAGCCATTAAGTCAAGCTCAGGTTGAAATTGTCTGTCTGCGGCACCACATATGAGAAAAGATGGAACATTCCGTAAACATCAGTCAAGTAGGTTAATGTTAGAGCTGTGTTCCTGGGTTTTCCCCTCTGAACATCTAATTTCTGTCAGCCTGCAGCGCCGAGGGCCATCATTAGCCCAAACTCTCGTATGAACATCCTCAGTGCTGCCACACACGCAAATCCCAGCGCGGACGTTATAACAAACTGACTCATAACTGAAAATATTGAGCAGACATCAGGTGCATGAAGCTAAGTGCTATTTAGTCAAATTAAAAATGGTTGTTGGAAGCTGTAAGAAGATTGTCACTGACATTGTTTAAAGTGAACAACCCACTTTTTTGACAACTAGTTCTGTAATTGTTTCGGACAGATAGAAGTAAAAAAAAAGAGCAGAAAGTAAAGATGGAAAGAAAAAAACTTGTTCAAATACTGCTGCTTGATTTATTTAAAAAAAAAATTGAAATGTGGACTATTATGATAAAAGTACTTCTAACCAGTTTACAATAAACATGTTTGAATTATAAACTAGCAGCGATGTTTTGCAATAATAAATGTATTAATGTTACATTAAGGTTAGCAGTTAAAACATGATGCAGTAAATTAAAACAGTTGTTTTTCTGCTATGGCATTTAAAACAGGAATTAATGTCTCTATTCACCCATTTAGTAGCTTGTTTCTCATTCTTGGCTGTCTGATCAGTCTGGGTCTCATCCAAACACGCTCTCTCTCCCTATTTCACACACTTTCTGCCAGATAATTTGTCTGTATCTGCAGCATCTGAGCACATTCGATGTGGTTTGTAACATTTTGCATGCAGCCAGTCAAGATGCCAAGATGTTCAATGGTTTACCCAGCCGTATGTCTGTCTGTCACCCATTGCAGAGGCTCAGATGCTTTCCCATATGTTTCAGCTTATGACTCTTTGGGATTGTGGGTACGTGTGTACATGGTATTATGTTGATTTATGTGTTTTTGTTTTTTTTTTGTTTGTGTGTTGTTGTTTTTTTTACAGAGGAATACAACACAAGCATTCAGGAGAAACTGCCACTCATCATTGGCTCAGCGGCGGCAGGCCTGGTGTTCCTCATTGCTGTGGTTGTCATCATCATCGTTTGTAACCGGTGAGCCACTTTTGTGCTGTCAAAGTCTTAAATTACTAAAAATAAAAAATAAAAATAAATGACTCTAAGAAATGATTAAAAATTGTTGGATATATTGCTTCTATTCCATCTTAGTTTTTTTTCCCTCCCAACAAACTATTAATAGAAAATTTGTTTATAAAAAAAAAACATACAAGTAAATCCATAGATGTTCTAGTTCAATGGGTGCCCAAAGGTTATAAACCCTGGTTTGGGTTTCAGTTCCCAGTAGGGCCACTTATATTAAAAATATAGGTCTGCACCTGTGCAGTATTATAAGCCTGAAAAGAATGCACAAGATGAATTTCTCAGCATTCTTTTATTATAGTGGCTGATTTCCCCTAGGCTTTAATGTACTGTATGCTCTATATCACAGGCTTGGATTATCTCATCATAATGACAGGCAATATATTGTGTTGCAGAACAGACAACATGCAAGTATTATTTTTTGAACGATTGGAGTATAAATCAAGTGAAAAAATCAAGTATAATCATACATCAAAAACTTATTCCATTTAGAAAATGCAGATTCTTTTGATCAGAATGTTATATTTTCAGTACAACCAGATATATCTGTAGTGATAAAAACATGAATGATGACACAAAGAAAGTTATGGCAGTCGCACCTGGCAAAATATGACCCATTTATGTAGCACTCTGGTTAAAAAATGTTTTTTTTTCCTCAGTCTATAATAAAGAAACTCTAGCAGTTCTGTAGACTGAAAATATCGGTTTAAAAGTTTACACTACCCTTTGATTTAAAGAAAGAAAGAGAAAAATTATGTGCAGCCCATAATAACACACCCAAATAATTCATGCAGCTACCAAACTGGTGTGCTCTGCAAAGAAAGATGAACATATGTTTGGGCGGTTTGACTGCATGGCTGGATGCCTTTTTTGTTTGCCAGAGGGAAAAAAATCATTTCCTAACTTGTGAGTCTGATCATAACGGATATATTTTCAGCGAAGTACACCTGGGGTGTTTGATTCATGTCTCCCCCTTCCTCCTCCTTTTCTATGAACCAGAGCTAGAGTTCTTTGTCTTTCCCCCAGGAGGCGTGGCTTCGACAGGGGTGATTCAGAATACACAGACAAATTGCAGCACTACACCAGTGGCCACAGTGAGTAATCCGCTACCTCTCCCTGCTCACTCTGCCTGAGGATTAGACACACCTGTATCCATGACTACCCTGTCACACAGTCATCCCCACGGCAGTCATTCAGCACTCTACTTCCTCACACACCTGTCTCCATGACTACCACCTTGCTTGCTGCCATCCTTACAGCCCTGTTCAGCACTGCTTCATTTTCCCCACTTTGCACTTCCGTGTAATCGTGCCTATTGTTTGATTCTGTTTGCTCGTAACATGGATTTAGTGTGTTCTGTGTATCACATTTCACATTTAAGACATTTCTTTGTGCAGGAAATAGGTCAGTCTTCACTCACGTTAAGGCCGTTAGGATGCTAATGCACATGTCATTTGCCATTGTCAAAATTTCCCAAAAGTTTGGTAAATAAATGGAATCACTCAATTATCGACACAGTAGTGTGGAGTTTAATTTGTATGATACTGAGGTAAATTTGTAAGAAAGGTATTGACTCCAGCTGGAAATAAATCAAAACCACAGTAATAATTTTAAAAAAAGACAGCAGTTCTTTGTAGGCCTGTCGAATTCAGTTACCAAAAGGAGCCACAATTTAATTTAAAAATTTTGTCCGAGCCATGGACCACTTTCAGATGATATATGAACTCGGGTCAGATACTCAGTATCTTTTGTTGGTTGCAGGTTCATCATCTGTCTCATTTGACGTTCTGTTGCTCTTTCCTCATCAGAATCAATAATGACAGAATGATCCAACCTTTTTTTTTTCTGGCTTTAAAAATAAGCCAACTGGTAAAAGTATACTAAATTATGTATTTTTCAGTTTTTTTCAAAGAAAAATTAGAAGAGATACAATATTTTACATTTAAATTATCATGTTGTGGGCCAGATTTGGCCCACTGCTTTTGAGTTTTGACATATGTGGAAGAGTATAAACTACTTTCATAAGTGAGAGATTATTACTCTTATCATCTTTTTTGCAAGTATGTAAATTCCCTTCACAAGGTAAAATCTTTCCCAGTTGAACCCAGTCACTTTGTGAAGTCCAGCTTGTGCTTTAGTGAAGAGTGTGCCAGTAAATAGCTGGACATTTTACAGCTATTATCAGAAGCCAATATGTCTTGTGTGCATCCTGTCCCCACAGCAGTTGCAGTTAAGACTCTTGCTCCTGTTTATGGTGGTCTTTGCCGTTAAAAGGAAGGTGGTCTTTTGAACGTGCTTTAGCTTGAGAAGAGATTGTAGGCTTTAGTAATGGGGGGTTGTGCCTGGTAAGATCTTTTCCATCTGTTCATCTCCGCAGCATGTTTTCCCAGTGTAGTCTGCCAGGTTTTGAGGCATGCTCTTCCTGCACTGCAGCAGCCCAGGCTTGAGTATACTATCCATTCAGATAGCCTCGGGTCTGATGTGGAGGTATGAGAACTGTAATCGGATTTAAAACTCTGGACATTTAAGTCCCTGAACACTTAAAGGCCACCTTAAGCCAATTTACCTGGCATTCTGGCTTAGGACAGCCAATTTATTTCAAGGCGTAAAGCTGAGCAATGCTAATATACAACCCAGGTTTCTTTCCTGAGTCTTAATGGCTCTATGACTCACTGGAGATGATATATATATATATATATTAACCCACTATATCGTAGCCAAGAGGACTAGAGGCATGATGTCCTTGCTGACTGAACAACTACACACAGTAGCCACGAGGTAATTGTCACAACCACCATTTGTAATTACGGTACACTACCTCCTCCATCATCCAAACTTCATTACCTTTATGTTGTAACGAAAAAAAATCTCACAACTGCCCAGGAGTGTAGAAATGGAAGGTGAATGAATTATTACTTTGCCTCACTGCATTGGACTGTCTGGGCCATGGGATTGCAAGTAAGACCACAACAATTAAATATTATAGAAGCTCTTTCCTGTCTTACAAGTGTCTCCAGGAATGAAGATATACATTGATCCGTTCACGTATGAGGACCCAAATGAGGCTGTGAGGGAGTTTGCCAAGGAGATTGATATATCCTGTGTGAAGATTGAACAGGTCATCGGTGCAGGTAATGGAGAAATCTGACTTAAACTGGCATGAAATACAGCATATTTATAACTGATTTCCAAGAAGTAAATGTAGGTGCTTATTTTTAGTTGTGCACATCTTTAGAATGCATATACCAGTAACTGTCTTTTCTTTTTTTGTTTCCTTTATTTTTACTTCCTAATAGGAGAGTTTGGAGAAGTGTGCAGCGGTAACCTAAAGCTTCCGGGTAAAAGGGAGATGTTCGTAGCCATAAAAACTTTAAAGTCTGGCTACACTGAAAAGCAAAGACGAGACTTCCTGAGCGAGGCCAGCATCATGGGCCAGTTTGACCATCCTAACGTCATTCATCTGGAAGGCGTGGTCACCAAGAGCAGCCCTGTAATGATCGTCACTGAATTCATGGAGAATGGATCTCTCGACACCTTTCTCAGAGTAAGAAACCTGATTTTAATATGGGGCAAATGGGATTTTACTTGTAATTATTTCTTGCATATTAAACTAATTTGCCATTCAGTGATAAATACTTAAATTATTGTGCAGTAATATAGAATTTATTTTACATATCTCACTGAAATTACTTTTACAATTAATGCTACACTATATACTGTGATCTTTAAGTAATTTCTAACAAACTGATGGCATGCTACATCTGAGAATGTTTTATCTAAACTCAGCAAGGACACGAATAAGTTTTAAGGTGTTTTTTATTTTATTTTTTATTTTTTTATTAACAATAAAGTTGCCTTCCCAAACTGACAGGACAAGTTTCTTTGCAGCTTGGAAATATCCATTCAGAGCTTTTGCTTTGACAAGCCTAAGAATTGATATGAAAATCTCAGCATAATAAGTTTTATCGTGACTCTGTCTAAAATTGTTTGCTTCACCAGACAGTTACTGAGGTACCTGCTAACAATCTGTCAAAAAAAATGACAAGAAGCAGTCACTCCTGCAATTAAAAGAGCACATTATTATCTAAAACGTGTTCCAAGGCTATTTATACTTTTGTTGCTGTTTCAACAGCGGATGAAAAAAAATTGCAAAAACTGTTGGGCATAAATTTACCACAAGCAATCATTGAATGAGTAAAGTTCCTTCAGCTCCTGTTCTTTATAT